AGCGAGATTAAGCTTAAAATACTAATAGGAAAATGTTACTGTATTGACAGAATGATATTAGCGTAGCCAAATGTTAATAATTCGAATAAGATAAATACGTATTTAATTTAGTAAATCCTTAGCAGATATATAAGATAAAAAATAAAAGTAACCTGTTTGTTGTAGAATTATAAAAAAATACAAAGGAAATTTTAGTAACTTAGTGTTAGTTTAGTGAAAAAAATTTAAACAATGGAGTTTAAAAAAAATAATAAAAATAAAATAGGATTAGACAAAGAATAAATTGTTAATTTTGATATATATGATAATTTATGACATTAAATTATTTTTAAATGCTTACTATACTATACAATTAAATGTATTCATAAATCGAAAACCTTAACCATAAAAGATACCAGTGGCAATTACAGTAAGCTACATAAAGTTGAAGAAAAATAATTTATAAAATAGTCGACAGAGACATTGGTAAAATATCACATATCTATATAGGCAATGCTTTCTCAAATATCATAAAAAATAAAATAAAATTTGAATTTACAAATATTCAAACAGTATTTTGATGGGACTCAATAATACATTAACGATTATTCCTGAAATTCAGCATTCAACAATCATTTCCGCCCAATTTAGCATGTACATCGTGACCTAATATTCAAAATCACAATATTTTTATTGACAAAACGTGTATACACTTCTTATTTTATTGATAAGCTATTAAAAAACTGATGATCGCGAAAAAGAATAAATTTAAAACTAAAAAGTTTATGAGCTAATAACCATTAAAGTATATTAAAGTAGAAACTAGTTATTTCAACTCTTGAGTGCCATAAAGGGCTAGGAAAAATGGGTAGCTACTATTTATTTATAGAATATGTTGCAATACCGAATTATCATTTACAAGTTAAGTCATCCAGCTGATGAAGTCTAGTCATGCTTATGTTTTGTAAAATTTTAATATACGCAATGTTTTTATTATTTAAACTAAAACACAAAGTAAAAAAAATAATTCGAATATGTAAGTATTTCTATTATTGACTAATTTGATACAATTTTCGCTTTAAACATTTATTCATTTTTAACCGATATTTTTTACAATTTCATAATTTAAGCTTTAAACGTTGAAATTTTAATTCTATATATGAGAAATATTATATTATTAAAGAGCTTGTCAAAATTTATAGTCAAATACTATGTATTCATAACGTAATAAAGAAATTTGTACTATGTTTATTGTATAATATAAATGATTGTAAAGTATAATAGATAATCACAAATAGGTGTGTACTTAATAATTTTTCATATCTCGGCGAGTCTTATAAATCATAAATAATATTACCTTAACTAATAAATATCAATATTAAGGAAAGGATCAGTCTTGTAATTACGGTTCAAGTAGGAAGTTTATGGTTTAATCTTACATTAACGAAATCGAAATATTTAAAAGAGAAAGATATTATTTATTTTATATAAGAATTAGGTTTTACCAATTTTGTGTTTTAAATTTAAAAACAATATTCAATTATCATCATAAATTAAACGTATAGAAAATTATTTTAATTTAGGATATCAATATAAATCATTATTAAATTCTTACCATTATCAGCAGGGTGCACGGATTTCAATGCACATTGTATTTTATTAAAGTTAACATAATCGAAGTTTTTTTAGCAAAAAAATCGATTTATGTAATAAAGAATTAGATATAAAAATTTTAATTTGCACGTCGAGGTAATTTTTTGATTTATAAGACATGTTTGTAATTTTTTAGTCCATTTTAACTTTTTTTAGAGTATAGTTAGGCAAAAATTAGTTCTTTATTCAAACTACGTAAATTAAATGTGTGTTTTACTAAGTGACAAACTTTTTTTATTTAATTTTAATTAGGTATACCTTTTTGAATATCTATCCCTTTACGTATTTATGCATTTCAATATAAAAAATGTCCTATAAAAAGTTAACCTTTTCAACTTAACTTTTGAAAATGTTACGGAAATATTCATAGTTTTTATCTTACATTAAATTAAAATTTATGTTACATACTACAAGTTAAAAAGATTGTCTTTACGATTTTTCTTCCTTATGTAAAAAATTATTTTGGTGTAAAAAATCACCATTTTTTGAGTTATGATTTTTTAACTTAATTTTTTTTTTAAATTATTTGTGATTGTACTTTAGGTCAAATAGTATAGTCAATTAAAAAGGGTAGGTTACTACTGCCATTCAATTATCCACCATTTATAAAAAAAAAGAAAATTAAAAACAAAAAAAAGTTTTTTTTCTTTTTGATAAGTCTATACTTACAATTTTAACACGTTTATTGTAAAGGTAACAAAATATTCTATTACTTATAATTTTTATAATTTTTCCGTATAAATTAAAATAAAAAATATTGAGTGTCAAATTCATACTAATTTTCAATTATGTTATAAGTAACCTATTATTTATGAGTTAGTTATATGTAAGTTATCATTTAAAAAAATAAAATTTATATCCATAAAAAGTACAAAGTAAGAATTAAACAAATAATTAATAACTAATTAATCGATAAATATATGACATCACAATACCAAAAATAATTTACTAAACATATTTATTATTTTAAAAGAAACTATGTAGCAAGTGTTAAAATAAAACCCTGTATAATTGAACTATTTTTAGTGAGGTCGATTAAATAAATCCAATGAAAAAATTAATCATAAAATACTTATAAAACTATAATTTATTCGTTTTAACAACAATTTTTTAACCATTAAAATACCTTGACCTGCTAAAAGTTTATGATATTGCTAATGCGTTTTTTAGAGCTGTCTACACAAATAGAAAAAAAGTTGAAGAAGTTTGCGGAAGCAATTTGGACAAAAAGCCAGGAAAATAAAAGTTGAAATATTATTTTTTGGTTCTCTTATACTAAAGAAATGATTTTGTACTAAGAAAGGTAACTTAGTGAAAACAAGAAAAAGTATTAACAAAAGGTTATCAGAAATTTTACTTTTTCTATAGTGTTATAAAATATCATTTTTAATTATTTTTAAAACTAATTTTTTATTAAAATTTCTTGGAAATTCAATTTACGGAAAATAAGTATTATTAAATAAATAGATAATCGACTAAATCTTGTGAATAATATTTTTAATTCTAGACTAATACATTTTATTTAGAATTGACACGTAATATTTATTAAACTCTACCTATTTGATTTAGAGTGTCAAAATACTATTGCATCTTTTTAAAAATATATTTTAACTTAACTAAAATGGGACTTTCCTAAAACAAAAGTGATCGGAATAGAAAATATTTGTTAACCGGTCACATTTTATACGTTTTACAAATTACTAACAAAATTTTAATATTATGTTTACCTTTAAAAAGGTTTCACTGCTTTTTGACAAAAAAAATGAAATCTGGCATGATAATTCTGGTTATGTTTACAAATACACTGTCGAAATAATTTACCTACATAAATGAATGACCAATTAAATAGGAACTATTAATGAATTATTAATAAATGTATGAAAACTTTTTAAATAAACATAGACTGTATAGCATATAATAAATATAAGTGTTTCAACTATGATTATTTAATGGAATACCAAATTTGATAATTTTATTATACAAACATAAATAGAAACTTCCTTTTGTTAACTGTATATCAAAGTTAAGGTAGTAAGGTATACTCACGCATAAACCCACATTCCCCTATTCTGTTTAAATTTATGACATTTAACTAGTTATTAGTCTATACTAAACTTCTATACAGCTTCATGGATCCATAAATGTTCTATGATCTTTGATATTGTTGTATTTTATAACAAATAATATTTCACATCAACATTTACCATGTACACAGATTAAAATATTTTACAGATAATTCTATTATATTACAATTAGAACAATATTAATGTAAAAAAGAATACACTTAAACAGAATTAATTTGTTTCAGTTACTACTTCTCAATAAATACCTTATATATTAAAATAATATTAAACATAGCATATTTCATAATTTCTAGAATTTTGGATGAGCTATGTTTCTCCAAGTCCCTACCAATTTGTGCTTATAAGAATGGTCCAAGTCCATATTTGGCATATTTCACTAGTCGGTATTTTCTAATTTAAGCTTTGCCGTGTATCATTTTATTTAATCATATTTAATTTTATAATATATATTTACCAAAACATTGTTAAATTAAGCAGATTTAATAAAGTCTTTTGAGGTAAAAAATGTTTTTTTTTACTTCTCCTAAAAGTAATAAAAAAAGGCTTGAAATGTTCAATTTCTTAGATATAAAGATTTGCTCTAATTTTGTTGAAGATTCAATAATTATTTCTTTCTTGACTAATGTATCTTTGCGTCTATGAATATTTTTATAGTAATAATTATTATGATTTATACTATGTACAATTATGCTAAACACACCACTAAATATTTAATTGACTTACTATTACTATCGTGAACCGTTGCATTTAATCGACTTTCACATTCAAATCTTAATTCCCTTATTAACTCGGCAGAAATGCCCATAGGACCTGGTGTAGTAGTACTCATTGTTTCTACCAGTCGATGCTACTTTTGAGTAAAATGTATTCCTGATACTCCTAAAACATAAAAAATAAATACTCATTAATTATTAAATAACTAAAAATGATAATAAAATAAAAATGATAAATTTTGCATGGGAGATAAGTAGTGTGCACATTATTTATAAAATGGTACCGTTTGTGTTTATTAAAAAGGACTTAAAAAATACTTATTTACCTACGTGACTTATAATAATAGAGACTAAAGTACAATAGTACTTAGAGGTACAATAGTACTAGTAGAGGTGTTTGCAAGTTAAGTAATAATAAATTTAATTCGTTTTTGCTTGCATAATCACAATCCCAAACATGAGATTTGATTCCATTTATTAATTCTAGAGTAGGTCGGACAATTTTCCATTCAAAAATCGATTTTTTGTTAAATCATCATATTCTATTTCTAGTTATAAATTATTCTACCTAAAAATAAAGTCGCCAATATTTTTCGTTCTTTTTTTTATCGTCAGCGCATAATGATATAAAACCAGATATGAACTGTCAAAGTTGAAATAATATGTCTGTAAATGTAATTTACACTGATGACAATGTACAACGTGTTGCAAGGGATTAGTTGTTATGTTTTAGTGTAGATATTATAATAATCTATTTTGAAATACAGAAGAACAAGAAAAATTTCTGTGCGATATTTTATAATTATGTGTACATTACAGAGTATAATTATATTTTTAGAATTATGACGTTGTTAAGATTTCTAGAAATTACTTAGGTTTTTTATTGTTTCTACTACGTTTAACTATGCATTTGAGTTTATAAAAAAATTCACATGCTGACAGCGACTTTTACCCTGTTTATTCTGTATACTTAAAATATTTACCTATCAAACCCGGACTTTGCTTAGCATAATACTACCAAGAATTAAACCTGAGTTTCATGAATTTCTACATCAAAATACATTTTTCTGAACTTAATATATAGGATAAATAAAATTTTTACAATAATCATTTCTTTGATAAATTATGATAGTTTTCAGTATTTTACGTTAGTGGATATTTAGGGATGACTATACTTGCTTCAAAATTTATATTGTCATTTTCTTTTATTAAAATTATTTTTAAATTCATAGAGCTTTCTCTGTTTACATGGTTATATATTTAATAGCTAAATAGAATTCTCTCTGAGCTTTTTGATTACTAATAATTTAAAAATTAAATAAATATAATTCAATAATTATAATAATATCGACTCAATTTTATTTATTGATCAATTATTTTTGGTGTAAATGTTGTTATAAATTATGAAAAGCCACTATCTAATTTATGTCCCTATTTTTTATCGCCATTTTGTTTAAATTATTTATAAAAATATATTCTTATTTAATGATTATTACGAGTAACAGTTATTTAATCTATAAATAATCATTGCATTAAAAAAACCATTGTTGTAGATTTAATGAGATATTTTGTATCTATTAAACAATATTTTCGATTTTTTTAGTTTCTGTATTTTTGTTTTCTACAGGCAAATTTTTCAAATTTTAAATTTGATTAGTCCTTAATAAGTTAAAACACTATTAAAAATTAGTCTATAATGTATAACCATTTCAATATGAGGGAATTTTAAAGTTTTCATTTTTGTTACTGACTTGCTGACTAACACATCATCAAAATTATTAGACACTTCCTGTATAGACACAAACATGAAATTCAGCATAAAAGTATGTCAATGGTGTAAGTAAATGTAAAAATGTGAAAATTTTTTTTTTAAATAATTGGTCTTACAGAGAGAGGCATCATTTGAGGGCAATTCTGATTTTTATTGGCTCATAAAAATTATGCATATATCTGGCTTAAACAATCAAAATAGACTGGTGTTCTCAAAAAAAAAAAAACTAACTGTAAAATTTCCAACCTCTTCCCAAAAAAGTAGTGATATTTGCATTGTCGATAACTTTAACACTATTTCCATAGCAAAATTGCTCCTTTATATTGTTTAACAATTGGCCAGTTACTGACCAAGTATTGACTCAGTGCTTATTTTAGAATTAGAACACTAAGGATAAAACTCAGAAGAAAAGAAAAGAATTGAGATTTCATTATGAAATTCATATAAAATTGCTACAAAATCTGCTTCATTAAAAAAACTGACTAAATATTAAACATACAAATAAAGGAGCAATGTTGTCCTTGAAAGTAGAATTAAAGTTTAAGAACTAAAGAACGAGAAAACTTAAATTTGCTCTTTCTAAGTTCTCAAGTTGTATTGTGTAATCAACATTTTGACCAATTAGCAAAAATGTAGATATCACTTTTTTGATGGGTAGTCTTATTTTTAAAAAGGAGGTTGAATCATTTTTATAGTTGGATTTTTGTTGACGATATAATTTTCAATTAAACTTTTTAGTCAATAAAATGGACTTTACGTTGGGACTCAAATAATAAAAATCTAAGTTGTTATTTGTTGTGCGTCCAAATAGTGCTCAACTTTCCGAATGATGCTTTATTATTTATTCACTTGTGACACCTATTAGATAAATTAGAATGTAGTGAATTCAAGTCTCTTAAGAATTTATTCATGCTGATATATTTTTTAATTATTATTGAATAACATAAATTCATTCTAATTTTATGAACTAAATCACATTTAAAGTTAGTAGACTTAAAACAAAGAAAATAAGAAAAGAAATATAATACGTTTATGTCTCCTTAATTTATATTAATAGTTCATCTAATTGACATACTGCCAATATTTATGATGAAATCATAAATACACAATGTATCTTGTAAATAACTCTTTAAAAATAGTATTTAATGTTTTTTCAATTATAGTTTATTCTTTGAAAGTATATAATATTATAATTATGTTATCGCTGAGTTAAAATTTAGAAGTAATCTCTTGACAGCTAAGACGATATTAACATAATAAGTTCATTGAATTTTACCGTTCGTTAGACGTGAATAATATTTTTTGGTATAGGTACTTATATAAGTAAATAAAAAATGAATACAATTAGATAATATTGAAAACTCAAATAATAATTTTTGATTTTTAGCTTCGATGCAAAGCTGAGATTATTAATTTTACTATGATGTGTTTTTTATTTATGACTTGTTACCACTTTTTCTCAGCTCTCACTGAACCGATTTCTTTCAACGATACGTCAAAAGATCACAAATTGTATCTAGTCGAAGACATTACCCTCAAAAATTGAAAAAATATCTCTCGTTCCCCGTAAATGGGGAAATTTCTAAACAAATTACAAATTTAAAAATCGCTAATTTTTTCAATTTTTCTTACTTAAAACTGCCATAACATTTTCAAAACTGACCAAATCAATACAATTTTTTTTTTTATTGATGCATGATGTTATTATTATTTGATATATTTTTTTTTAAATCTAACTCTTTACCTGCTCACGGGAAGGATTTAAAATGACAACTTTTTCATAAAAAATTAACTTTTTCAACTTAACTTTTGAAAGTGTTTCAGCAATACTGACACTTTTATGTATATATCTTAAATTAAAACTTATGAAATATACTTAATTATGAAAAAAAATTTCGTACTTTATTTTGTCTTTACGATGAAAAAGGCTATCTTATGCTATTTTTGTGTTAAAATTCTTGATTTTATATTTACATTTCTAACTTTATAAAGCTATAAATTTTTGAAAAATGTATGTATTATAATTTTTTTAAGATAAGTACTATTTATATTTTTCTTTTATTCGACATACTTTTTTTTTTAAATCGGACGATTATCCTTTATAAAGGATTTTAATTTTATATGCTATAACTTTTTGAAAAACACATGGATCAATACAATTTTTTTATGATAAATACTATTTATTTTTTCTTTCATTCAACATACTTTTTTTTTTTTAATAAAACCATTTTCCTTTATATATTATAAATATATATTACATATATTATACTTATAAATCATTTAACTTAATCAGGATATAAATAAGGAAATAGGTAGCTTTTGGAATAATTCACCATTTTTTTTTAATTAAACACTATCTACAGATTTGCATTGAAACGTTTTTTATGATAATGATTTTAATCACTTTCAGATATCATTATACTTGACCCAACCATGTCACGTCCTCCTGTGCCGTGATTTTGAGTCTTGATTTTACTTTAATAATTTAAAGTACAACTCATCTTTTCATCATTTTTAAAATAAATTTTAGTGTTCTAAATAAGCCTATTGTTTACCAATGTAGTTGTAACTAGAATAAAAATACTCATGGAAGGTGTAGATAATATACAAAATTACCTTGCATACATTAACTAATCATCATCATTAATGTGCGCTAAATTGTTAATAATGAAATAATGACGCAAAATATGTCATACAATGCATTAATGAGCTGAATCTATTGACTGCGTAATTGCTGTCTACATTTGTTTTCCATATTCACAAATTGATAATGAATAGTAAAATTACTCCATCAAACACGTATTTTACCAAACCTTTTAATGCATATATTGTGCAAAACATATTGTGATAAATAATTGAATTGGTTGTTTTTTTTTTATATTAAAACACGACACATGAAAAAAGATATGACATTTCACATAAGCATCAGTATCGTATAACATATTTCAACGCGTAAGTTGCCAAAAACTTTCTTGGAAATTTTACGGTCTAATAATATTTAAAACTATTTTTTTTCTTTGACGTAATACCTTCGACATAAAATAACTAATGAACATTATTTGTGCGACCTCACGAAAATGTTAGTAAATTTCAAAAGTATATAAGGATACGTAATACTGTCTATCTTGATAAGGTCGTAGGACACATAGTTTAGTATAAAATCATAAAAAACTTGTATTTTTCATTAGTTATTTACCAAAAGAAGAAGTTATTTGTAAACCAACTGTAAAAAGTTAAAAATAAAAAAGTAAAAGTGAAATAATATTCTCAAATGGATGTAAGATTTTTTTATGTGACCATAAGAAATACTAATTCATCAAAAATTATCTAAACGTAAGCGACATAACAACATAATATAAGTAACAATGATATTTAGCACTTTTTTACTCTGTATA